GGATCAATCAGGGAAAAAGAAAGGAGACATATGTAATACTTTAAACAATAATAATAATAAAGAATTATACCAGCTGGGTTCATTTATAAGGCCAGGTGAATTTCATTCTTTACTGGATCCAGCAATACAGAGTTTAAATTGTACTTGGCTACCCAGCTTTACAGATGGAGAAATTGGGGTTCAGGACACAGAGGTGATTTGCTCAGTGATACTGAGATAGAGCCATAGTTTAAACACTCATTTTGCAAAGCTACAAGCAGTGTCCATGGCAATTACAGGCTAAAGGATATAATGACAGTGCAAAAGACCTAATTTTAGAATCCTGATAAAATCCTCTTTAAAATCAAGAACTTCCCCTCTCCCTCCTCCACACCAAAAGGAGCACAAATTGCAAAACGAGGTTGAAGGAATGAAAGAACTTCCTCTTTTGTCTATAAATACTAACGATGCATGGTTTCAGGGAAAATTTATTCTCCCTTTTTATGGCCCAGAGCTTCCTGAGGCAGCTCATCTGTGATAAGCAGCAGGAGGAAAGGAGGATGAAGTGTCATGACACATGTCTGTGTTTCTCGTCCAAGGACTGCTGCTCCATTCGTTCCACATAGAGCCCAGAAGGTGGCTGTCCAGCGTGTTTCCACACAACTCTGCCAAAGCTGAGTTGAGACTCTCGCACAGATCACACTGTACTACACACTGTGCTCTTGTGGGAAGGCCTGGGGCACAAAAAGTATCCATGGTTCTTCTTTCAAAACATACAAACACTGGGCACTGCCCCCATCTTTCTACAATATTGGTCAAGTCTGGGACTTCGGCTGAGAGTAATATTTTATTCTGCACCTAAAGAGGCCCATCCCGTACGAAGGGCCTATCAGGAGCCAGGCAGCCCATTAGGGGCTGTATATACATTACTGTGAACTTCACAAGAGAATATTGTACAAGAGTAACTCAGAGTGATTAAGTAACTTGCCTATAGGAAAAAGCAGTGTGTCAAGCTCAGACTTCTTAATTCCAAAGCCCTTGTTCCTTCCACATTTAAAAAAAATGTTTTTATTGATTTTTTATAAAGAGAGGAAGGGAGAGGGATAGATAGAAACACCAACGAGAGAGAAACATAACCAATTTGGCTGCCTCCTGCATGTGCCCTGATCAGGAATCAAACTGGTGACCTCTTGGTTCCTAGGCTGATGCTCAACTGCTGAGCCACACCAGCCAGGCCATTCTACAGCATTTTGATGCTTTTTGTTATTGTTTGGTTTAAGCTGGTCTAAAGAAGCATCATGGCCTTTGACACCTTATAACTAGAAATCTATCCATTTTGAAAGGAGGTCTGGAGTATGGAAGAGTTTTAAAATTGTCAGACAGGTCCCCTTTGGTGAGGTGGGGGCTGTGCAGACTTCTTATGGCCAGAAGTCACACCAGCAACCCTGATTGTGAAGAGGTGTCCTCTCCTGCCATGAGGTGATGGGGGAATCTTGTTCTGAGACTAGATTGCTTGTATTTCCTTCATGCAGAAAAATAAGTAGAATGGAAAATGTTCATATTGGGATTTCAACTAAGTACTGACTAGGCTTTATTTTTTAAGCTGGGTGGAAGGTACACATTCATTGTACTATTCTTTATACCTTTTTGTGTTTTTAAATACTATATTATATATATATGTATATATATATAGCTTCTTTCTCAGGATTTACTGAATTAATTAATTACAATTCCAGAATGCTATTGTCATTGGATGGAAAAAAAAAAGACAGGAAAAGAGAGAGGGAGTCTATAAAATGGAGAAGCAATCCTCCTTCAGTAGTATCAGATAATGTCTACTCTAACCCATGGTCACTCTGAAAACAAAGAAGAGTGTGGCCATGTCACCTCACTACTCAAGGTGTGGCAGGCAGGCTGACCTGCAGCAGCAACTTCCCCTGGGAGCTTGTCATAGTGTAGACTCTCGCTGGGCCCCACCTCGGACCCTGCATTTTGACGAGATGCCCAGGGACCCATGTGCACGGGACGGTGCTGGACAATACCAGAATGGCACCGGGGAACAGCACTTGCCTCTCGTTAGGTCTGGGTTGTCTGAGTCTAGGGTTCTGCCGCTGGCTCCTTCTTCCATGTCTTCTACTTTTCCAGCTGCTTTTATGCATTTCTGCTCCTATATGAGAAAAAAAGAAAATTACATACAAACATGTGGGTGCATGTACTTTTCTGTTCACTTTTTGATAGTTCCTTCATGCTCACAACCAAGCCCAACCTGGTTGTCATCAAAGCCGCCACCCTAAGCCTCATCTGTAAAAGGCAGCCTTCCAGGTGGAGACACCGATAAAATCCAATGTGTCTGAAGCCACTTTTCTGGCTGAGTTCTCCTACCTCACAGTTGACACCTGGCCTGACAACCTGCTAACCTCCGTCCCCTGGGTCACTGTGTGAGCTGCTGACAGACTCTCACAATTACTTTAAGACAGTGGTGCTCAACCTTCTGGCCCTTTAAATATAGTTCCTCATGTTGTGACCCAACCATAAAATTATTTTCGTTGCTACTTCATAACTGTAATGTTGCTACTGTTATGAATCATAATGTAAATATCTGATATGCAGGATGGTCTTAGGCGACCCCTGTGAAAGGGTCGTTCGACCGCCAAAGGGGTCACGACCCACAGGTTGAGAACCGCTGCTTTAAGACACTAGTTTGAGCCTGACATGAGATCTCTTTCCAGATAATACCAGAGAACATACTTTTTCCTTCAATCTATACACATCCTGTTTGCAGAGAATAGTTTAGTATTGAACAGGGAAAATTGTGAACATAATTAACCGGGGGCTAGTGTGCATGACTTCTCAGTATGCTTTCTTTCTTTTTTTTTTTTTTTTTTAAATATATTTTATTGATTTTTTACAGAGAGGAAGGGAGAGGGATAGAGAGTTAGAAACATTGATGAGAGAGAAGCATCGATCAGCTGCCTCCTGCACACCCCCTACTGGGGATATGCCCGCAACCAAGGTACATGCCCTTGACTGGAATCGAACCTGGGACCCTTGAGTCCGCAGGCCGATGCTCTATCCACTGAGCCAAACCGGTTAGGGCCAGTATGCTTTCTAAGGAGTGTTTTAGCTTTGAGTGCACACTAGCAGTTAAAAGAAAGGATGTGACCAAGCTTTTTTTTTTAAAAATAAGGAATGAGATGAAAGCACTTCTTAATAACACTGATATTGCCATACTTATTTCAAGTGGCTTTTAAAAATCTTATCTTTTATAACCTGAATCTATCACTTAAGCATCAAAATATCACAAGTTTTCGCAATGGGAATCATATTCATTTTATAAAAAGACTAGCCCTGACCGGTTTGGCTCAGTGGATAGAGCATCGGCCTGCGGACTCAAGGGTCCCAGGTTTGATTCTGGTCAGGGGCATGTACCTTGGTTTCAGTCACATCCCCAGTAGGGGGTGTGCAGGAGGCAGCTGATCGATGTTTCTCTCTCATCGATGCTTCTAACTCTATCCCTCTCCCTTCCTCTCTGTAAAGAATCAATAAAAATAAAAATAAAAATAAATAAAAATAAAAGTAAAAAGACTAAACTGTGGTCCAAGGACCAACTGCTGTAAGTTTCAGACTTTCTCAACACCTGGTGATTTTTTTCTCTCCACTCACTGGAGACACTGATGACATCTGACCTAATACATTTAAAAAACACATTCAAATGCCATAACAAAATTGGGAAAAAAAATGGGTTGAATGTAACCAAAGAATAGAAGTCTATTTGCCTTTACTTCCCAACTTATACTTAAAAAATAAATAAAAAATATATATGTATGTATGTATTGATTTCAGAGAAGAAGGGAGAGGGAGAGATAGAAACATCAATGATGAAAGAAAATCATTGATCAGCTGCCTCTTGCCCACCCCCTACTGGTGATCGAGCCCGCAACCTGGGCATATGCCCTGACTGGGAATCAAACCGTGACCTCCTGGTTCATAGGTTAACGCTCAACCACTGAGCCATGCGGGCCTGGGCCCCAACTTCTACTTTTGAGTTGAGAGTGCCTGTTAGCATCAAACAGAGCGCCAGAAGTCTTCAACCACTTCCATGTCAACCTATGATTGTGAGTTGGGGTTATTTAGATACAAAGAAAGAAAGAAAAATTTAATGGGTATGGCACTTAACCAAACATTTCACAAATTCTATAACAAATTTCTTGATTTGCTAGTGGGAATGTAAAATACTGCCACCACGTCAGAAAGTTTTGCAGCTCCTCAAAAGGTTCAACATAGAGTTACCATTTCAGTCAGCAAAACCCAGCAGAAATGAAAACACATGGTCACACAAAAATTTTGAGAGGAACATTCACAGCAGCGTTATTCATAATTGCCTAAAAGTGGCAACAGCCCATATTTCCATCAGCTGATGAATGCATAAAAATGTGGCATCTCCATACAACAGAATGTTATTTGGCCATAAAAAGAATGAAGTACATGACACAATAAGGATGAACCCTGAAAATATATGCTAAGTGAAAGAAGTCAGACATAAAATTGAACGATTCAACGTATATGAAATCTCCAGAATAAGCAAATCCAGACACAGACACACAGTATTTTATAGGGCTGAGGAGGGGGGGGAGGGAGAGGAGGCAGAGAATAAGGAGA